TGTATATGAGACCATCTACACTACTGACAGTTCTACAGTTCTTCAGTTCTGAGGTGTTCTAGATTCTAGAACTCACCCATGTGTGTAATTCCATGCTCGGGGGACATTTATGGGTAGTCTCACAGCCAGATCAATCCAGGTTTTTTATTTTCTGATCTCCACCACTTTATGCATTTTATTATCTGAAGTCTGGATGGAAATTCATTTAGATGTACACTACCGTTCAAAAGTTTTAGAACACCTACTCATTCAAGGGTTTCTCTTTATTCTTCAAATAGCCACCCTTTGCCTTGATGACAGCTTTGCAAACTCTTGGCATTCTCTCAACCAGCTTCCCCTGGAATGCTTTTCCAATAATCTTGAAGGAGTTCCCACATATGCTGAGCACTTGTTGGCTGCTTTTTCTTTACTATTCGGTCCGACTCATCCCAAACCATCTCAATTTGGTTGAGGTCGGGGGATTGTGGAGGCTAGGTCATCTGATGCAGCACTCCATCACTCTCCTTCTTGGTAAAATAGCCCTTACACAGCCTGGAGGTGTGTTGGGTCATTGTCCTGTTGAAAAACAAATGATAGTCCCACTAAGCCAAACCAGATGGGATGGCGTATCGCTGCAGAATGCTGTGGTAGCCATGCTGGTTAAGTGTGCCTTGAATTCTAAATAAATCACAGACAGTGTCACCAGCAAAGCACCCTCACACCATAACACCTCCTCCTCCATGCTTTACGGTTGGAAATACACATGCAGAGATCATCCGTTCACCCACACCGCGTCTCACAAAGACACAGCGGTTGGATCCAAAAATCTCAATTTGGACTCCAGACCAAAGGACACATTTCCACAGGTCTAATGTCCATTGCTCGTGTTTCTTGGCCCAAGCAAGTCTCTTCTTATTATTGGTGTCCCTTAGTAGTGGTTTCTTTGCAGCAATTCGACCATGAAGGCCTGATTCACACATTCTCCTCTGAACAGTTGATGTTGAGATGTGTCTGTTACTTGAACTCTGTGAAGCATTTATTTGGGCTGCAATTTCTGAGGCTGGTAACTCTAATGAACTTATCCTCTGCAGCAGAGGTAACTTCCTGTGGCGGTCCTCATGAGAGCCAGTTTCATCATAGCGCTTGGTGGTTTTTGCGACTGCACTTGAAGAAAGTTCTTGAAATGTTCCGTATTGACTGACCTTCATGTCTTAAAGTAATGATGGACTGCCATTTATCTTTGCTTATTTGAGCTGTTCTTGCCATAATATGGAATTTTACCAAATAGGGCTATCTTCTGTATACCCCTCTACCTTGTCACAACACAACTGATTGGCTCAAATGCATTAAGAAGGAAATAAATTCCACAAATTAACTTTTAAGAAGGCACACCTGTTAATTGAAATGCATTCCAGATGACTACCTCATGAAGCTGGTTGAGAGAATGCCAAGAGTGTGCAAAGCTGTCATCAAGGCAAAGGGTGGCTATTTGAAGAATCTCAAATATAAAATATATTTTGATTTGTTGATCACTTTTTTGGTTACTACATGATTCCATATGTGTTATTTCATAGTTTTGATATCTTCACTATTATTCCACAATGTAGAAAATAGTAAAAAATAAAGAAAAACCCTTGAATGAGTAGGTGTTCTAAAACTTTTGACCGGTAGTATAAAGGTTTACTGGCAATTCCTCACACAACCTGTTGAGAGAAACACCTTTATACACACCCTTAATACACCCTTGAATACATCCTTACCTATCACATTTTCCGTTGCAAAGACAAGTGATGACTCCGGGAAAACCAATGTACTGTAACTTGAATCAAACCATCATTGCAAGGTCATGATGTTTCGCTTTGAACAGCTCTAAAGTGAAAGGACTGTCTGGGAGACCTACTGTACACTTTGGGTGGTTCTCAATTAACCACTTCAAAAGAGAACATGAAACGCTACAATGTGCGCATTCATCAATCTCTCTACACTGTAATTGTCCTAAATAACCCATTTCAGTGAGGTTACTGAAATACCCTGTAATACTGCAGTGAGGTTAATATGAGTTTATCCCTAGCTATCCAGTTGGAGGCTTTCAGGAGCTTGAGATTACACATAGGGTACAGTTGAGTCATTCTTGACTGGAAGGTTCTTCTTTCTGAGGAGCTTTCCAGACTTTTCTAATTTCCTTGTTACAAATACATAAATATTGTGTAATAAAAACTGGTCGCAAGCACTTCATTTTTCACTGGAAATGACTGGATTATCATAGAACAGAATATAATTGGGTGACCTTGACATATTGGGGCAGGAAATGTTAGACCAAAGTTCTAGGCTGTTCTCAACACTGCAGTACTCCTACCTCTGACCCACAGAGTGAGATTAAAAACGTGTTTAAATTGGCTAAGAACACACAGCCTGCACATTGCATTCCTTGTTATTAGTAGTCAAGTGTGATCAAACGGACATCCTGAAGTGGGGTGCAGGGCTGAAAAAAGTTGGTATAAAAGAAATAGAGCCGCCACACTCATAAGCTCCACCACGCGCCTTTATTCACAAACAAGCAACGTTTAGATCCTGCAAGGATCTTCATCAGGTCCTGATCAAACATCGTTTGTTTATGAGTAAAGGTACGAGGTGGAGCTTATGAGTGTGCCGGCTCTATTTCTTTTATACCTTGTTATTATTCCTTGACACGTGATAACAATATCTGGACTTACACTGGTGGGAAGGGGATTTGTAACACAGACAAACTGGTGGGAAGGAGATGATGTCAGTGAGAGACTGAATGCGATACTGCGCACAAAAACCAACCTTATGATACTAGAGGAAACATTAACAACAACTGACTGAGAACAAATAGTTGTAGCTTAGGCCTATGTCCCGAAAAACGGTAAAACTGAAAGCCTGCAACCAACATCCTTTGTTATCTACATCGAAAAACCTTATTAGATTGGCTTACCACCATTATCAGGAACTGGTTGATTAATATGTTCAGTGGCTAGAACGTTAAGTACAAGTTCTGTATTTTTTTCTAACGATGAACACAGCCATACAAGGAAGACAGTATCTGTGCAATGAGATTAAAGAGACGTGACAGATAAAACTTCATAATGATTTATCTTTTATTTAACAAAATAAACACAACACAAACAAAACAATGGTCACTTTGAGATTCGATTCGCTGAACAGGAAAATTAAGAATCAACAAGAAGAGCAATTTGCATGTAACAGGCAAGCTGCAGTTGGTGCTCTGTCCTGTGGACTCGTACATCTTAGGGTGATACACAACATTGTGCTTTACACACCATAACTTATAACCATAACTGATAACCATAATCATAACTCATGTCATATGACACTGCACAACAAGAGCAATTTAGTCTATAAAATGTAACATCTTCAATCAGCTTTGAATGAAAACAGAACAATTTAACAGAACAAACATTAACTTCACCTGAACCATAGATATATTTCTATATAATGGATCTGAACTTTACACCATTGTTCAGTACCAGTAGTGTTACTGTAAATGTGCATCATCCTCTATCACTGGTCATAGGTTACAGGTTACAGGTGTGCTAACGACAATGACCCATAAGCCTACAGGTGTCCAAGGAAGCCATTCACACAACCAAGATAATGATTCAATGGATAATTAATCAAGATAATGAACATTGGTTGGTTGGTTATGATGATGGGACAATATTAACAACTGTGTAACCATTCACAGTAGACATTAGAGCTTGGGAATAGAAAACATCCAATCAAGATATCTATATATGTATATATAGAAATAAATAAAACAAATCTGTAATATGTACAACATATTTTTCACATTAAAATGTACAAAATGAGCAGGGTGATACCACAGCGATCTGGGGATGTAGTATTTACAGCAACATACAAACTATATACATATTCTCAAAAGTAATAATTAGTATTGTCATATCATACCAGGATGTCATTCAACATCATTCAACATCATAATTTATTTAGTCAGCTTTCCACCGCAATAGAAAATAAAATGAAGAGTGTTTTCTTCATGGCTTAACTCAGTGAGCAGCATACAGACATAAACCATTTCTAAAATAACTAATGGCCTTCAGCTAGTCTTCAGCTAGCCTTCAGCTAGCCTTCAGCTAGCTTTCAGCTACTGGCCTTCAGCTAGCCTTCAGCTACTGGCCTTCAGCTAGTCTTCAGCTAGCCTTCAGCTACTGGCCTTCAGCTAGCCTTCAGCTAGTCTTCAGCTAGCCTTCAGCTACTGGCCTTCAGCTAGTCTTCAGCTACTGGCCTTCAGCTAGTCTTCAGCTACTGGCCTTCAACTAGCCTTCAGCTACTGGCCTTCAACTAGTCTTCAACTAGCCTTCAGCTACTGGCCTTCAACTAGCCTTCAGCTACTGGCCTTCAGCTAGCCTTCAGCTACTGGCCTTCAACTAGCCTTCAGCTACTGGCCTTCAGCTAGCCTTCAGCTACTGGTCCTTCAACTATCCTTCAGCTACTGGCCTTCAACTAGCCTTCAACTACTGGCCTTCAACTAGCCTTCAGCTACTGGCCTTCAGCTATCTTTAAAATTGGCCACAAAACAAACAATGCTCATCTATTTATTGATTTGGATGTAACTTGTTGATGCACAAATTGAAATATATTGAAAATGCACAAGGTGTGAAAAGCCGTAACCAGATAGAAGGCAATAAGGCGACAACTCAACTCACTAACTTGTGTAAGGCAACAGTTCACAGGGGCAATAAGGTCATATTTACCAAGAGACAGAATGCCTGCTGTACTTGCAAAGGCAAGATAACTGCCATGTTTGATATAGTTGACTATAGTGAAAGGAGGTCATAAGGCATTTGGGTTCTTCTTTATACTGTATACCACATACCGTAAGAACATGTACGTCACTAGACATTAAACACATTGCTGGAGAGAGTATAGAAATGCTTGCGTTGATTATGGTAAAGGCACAAATATGTAAAGAGACTCTTAGTCAATGACAGCTCACATGTTTTAGCTTTGAGTAGTGCCGACAACTCAAAAGTTTCAGCTTTGAGTAGTGCCGACAACTCACACGTTTCAGCTCTGAGTAGTGCCAACAACTCACACGTTTCAGCTCAGAGCAGTGCCAACAACTCACACGTTTCAGCTCAGAGCAGTGCCGACAACTCACACGTTTCAGCTCTGAGTAGGGCCGACAACTCACACGTTTCAGCTCTGAGTAGGGCCGACAACTCACACGTTTTAACTCTTACTAGTGTCACACCATAGTTCAATGTCCCCCCTGGGAAAGTCTCTACTTTAGGATGTGGTGATGTTTGGTGCTACGTGACTAGGCACGTGCATGTGGCAATGTCAGATGATAAGGCTATCCAGAGGTCTCAATGTCCATTGTCAAGTACACCATAAACATACACACTAGCCACCGTTTGTGACGTTCAAAAGATATGACAAGACAGCTATTTGACTGCAGCCTGTTTTAAACTCACAATCTTCAACACATTCTTCATATCGTGCAAATTGTGTTCTCTTGAGTTTTTGTCAGGCTGACAACGGAAGTGGGATCAAACTGAACTCAAGAATCAAATGGGTTGGAAATGTAGGTCGTCTTCTGTACAGTGCTATGCACAATCTTGTGCAACATTAGAACAAAAGGTCGCCTATTTTACAGTAAGTAGCCAAATGTACACTCATTTACAAAATAGCTGCTAAGTGATATGTAACAAAAACAAACAAAGTTGAAGCTGTGTTAGATGGTTGTCATTTTGCATTGGCTAAACTTCAATGTGTCAAAGAGCCTAGGGCCAGGACCTAGCCTGGTACCAAATCTGTACTTTATGTGCTTAGCAATTTATACTTCTCTCTGACGAGGAGTTAGCCGAAAACACATACATTTGGGACCAGGCCTCCTAGGTAAGAGCTCTTACATTATTAAAGTACGGAGGACTACAGTCCAACTGTGCATTTACTGTGTCTTTCATTTTCAAGTCCTTCTGATGTTTGACAAAATGGCCCCAGACGTTTTTTTCTTCAGGGTTGTGGTCCACTCACACACTCATGTTTGAAACCACAACGCTACCAAGTCATTTTTTGTGTGATTCCATTTCTATGTTTCTTCTTCTTCCATACATTTTTGTTTTTGGGTTTACACGGCAACCAAGTTTTTCTTCTTTTTTTCGTTTATTTTTTCCTTCATCTTCGTCTTGGATGGCGGCACAGCGTTGAGGTCGGAACGGAATCTTCGGAACAGGAAGCCAGGAAATGAGGTCATTCGAGATGAGGTCATCATCATGGGATTGGAAAGGACGTGTCAGCAGCAGTAGCGTTAGGGTTAAAATGACCTCCATCGTTTTCGTTTGTCATCTTTTCATATAAAAATCTCTTCATTTCTTTAAATAGAATTCTTCATGTCCACTTCTTCTTCTTCATCTACTAGTCATGCCAGGTCTTCTTCCAGGCTCACCATCTGTCTCTGTGAGGTGAAACAGAAAATAACTGTAAACACAAAGTCACACAACACTGAAAACCGCTACATACAGTATTTCATAGGCTATAACATAATCAACTGTCACACGCTATCAGTTAGCCACTGCAGAACACCTTCAGGATTGGGGTCAATTCCATTTCAACTCAGTTCAGGATATTAAGTGGATTGCAAGTCCACATAGGAAAACTATGGGCAATTCATCCCTTTATTTTACTTAATCGAAATGGAATTGATCCTAACACTGTATGAGATTTGAAATGGAATGAACTCCAACCCTGGTGATAAGTGTAGTCTACAACAGTAATAAGACAGTGATTGGGTTGCTTGGTGGGTTGCTAGGTGACTGTGACTGTACCTGTGGGTAGGTGTATCCGTCCTGGCTGTGGTTTCTACAGATGTGCATCTCGTCCTCGGTGGTCTTCTGGTACACGGGGTTGTCAAAGTGGATGGTGTTGGTGTTCTTCAGCCTCCAGTGTCTCCATAGCATCACTGCACCAAACAGCATCAGGCTCATCATCACTGGAAAGAGGGGTCAAAGGTCAGTTCTTGTTGTTGTTGAAATTGTTGTTGTTGTTGTTGATCAAGTATAATGGTAGGTAAAGCCAGTTTAACTTTTACAATGATATATGTTTTACTGAGTGTATGAAACATTAGAAACCCCTTCCTAATATTGAGTTACACCCCCTTTTGCCCTCAGAACAGCCTCAATTCGTCAGGGCATGGACTCTACAAGGTGTCGAAAGCGTTCCACAGGGATGCTGGCCCATGTTGACTCTAATGCTTCCCACAGTTGTGTCAAGTTGGCTGGATGTCCTTTGGGTGGTGGACCATTCTTGATACACACGGAAAACTGTTGAGAGTGAAAAACCCAGCAGCGTTGCAGTTCTTGACACACTCAAACCTGTGCGCCTGGCACCTGCTACCATACCCCGTTCAAAGGCACTTAAACTTTTGTCTTGCCAATTCACCCTCTGAATGGCACACGTACACAATCCATGTCTCAAGGCTTAAAAACTATTCTTTAACCTGTCTCCTCCCCTTCATCTACACTGATTGAAGTGGATTTAACAAGTGACATCAATAAGGGATCATAGCTTTCACCTGGATTCACCTGGTCAGTCTATGTCATGGAAAGAGCAGTTTTATACACTCAGTGTATATCAACACGTAACTCAATACATAAACAGACAGTAGGTTACTACAGTCCTACTGTATTTATCAGTGTACTAGACATTATGCTGATACTACAAGGTAAAATACTCACTGATAGGTAAGACAATGTAGAGCGCAGTATGGTGTGATGCCTCAGCTACTTTGGGCATGGCAACATATCCACTTTGACCTGTGACAGCAGTTTCCTGTGGACTGTGAGTGGCCGAGGACCTGTCAGGGCCCTGAGGCTGGGCCCGGGGGGCGGAGGAGGTAGTTGTAGTAGTGGTGGTAGTTGTGGTGGAAGTGGGACGAGCTGGCTGTTTGGTTGGGGCTCTGGTAGGGACGGGGGCCGCAGTTTTGGGAGCGGTGGGGGAAGCGGTAGTTGTTGAAGCTGTTGGGATAAGAGACAGGGGTAAAGGTCACCAAAGGTTAGAGGTTAGACACATAAGAATGTGTCAGTTAGTTTGAGAAAAGGTTAAATGACCATAAACAGTGAGTATGGGGATAAGCTCTGTAACACTTTGAGATCCATTGGGTTTTGAACTACCTTTTAACAAGAAAATATATGGTCTTAAACTGATTTTTGGCAGGTTTTTTAAAATAATGTTGATTAATAATGAAAATATAAAAATATTAATAACATTCCACCCATGAGGCTACTAGAGGGTGATCTGGTCATTTGACTGCAGGAAAGGGGTCTACAGGGCAAGAGTTGCACCTTCTGTAAAGTTCCATAGGGTTCGACAGAGGAAAACACATACCTGCCACACACTTCCTCATGTCTGTCCCCAGGGTCATATGATCAGGACAGGCACAGGTGTATTTAGGGGAGTGTTGGTTGATCTGGGGAGCAGGCAGACACAGGAACTCACAACCTCCATTCACAAAGTTGTTCTCTGTGCACCAGTTCTTTCCTATGGGAGAGAGAGGGGAGAGAATGTGTGAGAGAGAGAGAGAGTGAGCGTTAGACCACCTGATTCAGCTTTTAAAGTTAATTACAGTCATTCATATGAGATTTGTTATGTTTTTAAAAAGCGTGCGTTGCCATACCGATGGGCTGCTTGAGGTTGTGGTATACAATGATGTCCTCTGGCTGTATCAGGTCCTCTGCCAGTACAGTGATGTCATTTCCTGTCAGGCGGTTGGCGCTCATGACCACTCTGTCACCCATGTCGGTCCAGAATACTTTCTCCTGTGAAGCAAATGAGAGAAACCAGAAAAAAGAGAGAAAGGAAGAAAAACTAGGTTACCCAAAGTTAACCAACTGTACATAGTCCGTACATACAGCACTTACAAAACCATCCACAAAGACTTATACTGTATCTGTCCTAATTGAAACGGGGGAAACCAACAGTTTCAGATATGGGGCTTATAAACCTCCTATGGCCTGGATACTGTAAGATCAGTTTGGTCTCCATTCAGCAGCTACATGGATGGATGGATTTTTGTTGGACTAATACAGGAAAAGATGGCTAGCTGGCTAGCTGCATGTCTAAACACATTAACCGGGCTGGTGAGCAAGACTCTGAACCTGGAAATCCCCTTTAATTAAAGCTACCACAGACAGGGTGGAGGGGGTGGAGGGGGGAGACTATGGTGCTCGACCCAGGGGCCTAGAGGAGGTTCTGGGGCCACAGCCAGGGTAGAGGGGGAAGGCCATGGTGCTCGACCCAGGGACCTAGAGGAGGTTCTGGGGCCACAGCCAGGGTAGAGGGGGAAGGCCATGGTGCTCGACCCAGGGACCTAGAGGAGGTTCTGGGGTTGGATTGTAACCATTACCCTCATGGACTGGACTGTGCTGGTTCAGTTAATCTCCTTTTCCCTTCCTACAATTCCTCTAGGACCTGACCATAACTATACTCCAGATGGAACTCCAGTTAGGGAGACCTTAATGTCCACATTATATCACTATTTACCTCGAAGACGGCGAGAGAGAGGGGGTGAGCCAGCTTGTCCTCGTTGTAGATGAGTGTGTGTCGTCCTCCTCCGTTGACGTCAATGCTGGAGAGGGTGTGCATCTTAGAGTCCACCCAGTACAGACGCTGGTTAACCATGTCTGTTAGAGAGAGAGAGAGTGAGTTAGAGAGCAAATCCAACTGTATAATCATTAACTTATAAACAATGCTTCCACTCATGATGACGAGGCAGATTATTTAAATGCTTAAATCTCTATCTGTAAATAATTTACACCTACAGTATGATACAACTTCCAACAATAACCCAACACAAAAGCTCCTCTGTTCTGTATATGAGTATAAGAATCATGTGAGACAGCAAATTACAATGTGTCCAATCACACATCACTATATTGTAGTGTCCAATCAGTGGACTCTTCTTACCCAGAGTGATGCCATTGGGCCACATGATGTTGTCCGTTACCAAGGCAACACGGTCGGCTCCGTTCAGCCCACTCTTCTCGATCTTGGCCTCGTTGCCCCAGTCAGTCCAGTACATGAAGCTGGAACCAGACACATTACCGTCAGTCAAAACTCCTACATCTAACACACTTCAGCACAACACAACATCTGTAAGACATCTGGAAGTCTTTAGAGAAAAGAAAATCACACACACTGACACATTGAGCCTTTGCCATATTTCTTGTTGCAAAAGAGATCCTCTCTCATTCAGTTATTCTAAAATGTCGACAACAAAAGCATCCTGTCAAAGATTTATCATTCAGAAGTAATTTCCTTTTTTGTTTTCATGACAGTCAACGCCCTATTGAGCATGATACTAATGACTACAGATCAATAGGCTATGACCCAAACAAGGCTAATAAAATCAATCAATCAAAACCCAAGTTTCTTACTTCTTGGCTGGGTCCACCACGATGCTTCTTGGTTTCTCTAGTCCTTCACTGACCAGCGTCTTTTGCCGTGTTCCGTCCGTGGTTGCCACAGAGATGGTCTGGAGCACGCTGTCCGTCCAGTAGATGTTACCGTGGATCCAGTCGACGGCCAGACCCTCCGGCGCCTCGATCTGGCTGTCAATCACCACGCTGTGGTGGGAGGAGTCCCCTGCCAAGGTCATGTTGGCGCTGGGGAAGGTGCAGGACAAAATAGCTGTTTGTTAACGAAAGAATACAGTCTATCTGCTGTTTGCTGATATATACAAATGCAAACAGACACACACACACACACACACACACACACACACACAACCCTTCCCCCAGTAGGTCCTCACCTGTAGATCTTCTTGTGGTACAGGTCAGACCAGAAGATCTTGTGTCCAGGCATGTCCATGTCGAGGGCCACCACGTTCTTCAGTCTAGGGATGACACTGACGTACTCTCTACGGTCTACAGTCATCTTCCTCACCTCGTGGCGGTTGGTGAACAACAGGTAGGGGACAGTACCTGGAAGACATAACATTACATTTAAAAAGTTGTCATTTACAGTAAAAGAGTGGGCCTCAAATCTGCCACTTTACTTAACTATATTTAAATCACATTTAGAAGGTTGTCGTTTAAGAGTGAGGCCTCAGAGAAGCTACCTAAACCTCTTCTTTGCTTTGATTGGTTCAAACCACATCAGAATTCCGCCCAAGGCTCTGTTCATATATCCACACTAGCAAGCAATCTATCAAGCATGCATTCTAAGTGGTATGCTGGGGTGGCTGTCGGAATGTAGCTTAGCTAGTGTATCCCTCCATCCCACACGTACCTGTGGCAGCCTTGCAGGTCTTGGTCTTGGGGTCCAGTTCGTAGCCCTCCTCACACTCACACTTGTAACTTCCCAGGATGTTCACACAGATCTGGGTGCAGGCGTCTGGGTCGGCACACTCATCAATGTCTGCAAGAGGAGGAAAAACAGGGTTAGAGGTCAGAAGACAGGGTCAGGGGTCAGTTGGGGCAATTAATAGTATGATTTGATCCAAATCCAACGTCCTGCGATCTAATCCAGCACTTGTCACAATAGTGACTTAGAGCTCAGAGTTATTACAATATTCTGAGCTGCGTTCAGAGTCATATAACAGTGTCATATAAACATTTATTTCTGCACACCTTCACATTTCTTATTGTCCTTCGCCAGACTGTACCCAGCAGGACAGGAGCAATTGAAGCCAATCTTCAGGTCAGTACAGGTGTGAGAGCAACCGCCGTTATTGGTCAAACACTCGTTGTTGCCTGCAGAATCAGACCGAAACTCAGTTAGAAGAAATATATCTATCTAGAAATCTATAAGAAACAACCATCATCCTCAATGTCCATGATGACAGCCTGTTTCCTTAGGCAAGACTAAGCCAGTGACCTCACTCTTTACAACCACTAACTAGTTTGGCCAGACCAGACTGGCCTGAGCTACTAGGCTAGCTGTCTCCATCATATGTTCCTAGCTGGTCTCGCTCCTCTGTTTTCAACTGAATGGTATGTGGGTGTAAAGGGAGTTCCCTACGGGCCCAGGGTCAAAAGTAGTGACCTATAAAAGGGTTAGTGTGCCATTTGGGACTCAGTATATGTCTATGGTTCCAACTCACCACACTCGCTGATAGGTTCGTCGGACATGTCTCGGCAGTCTTTCTGCCCGTTGCACACCTTGTCCATGGTGATGCACTTCCCACTCTTACACCTGAAGTTATACAGGCCCTCACACTCATCCCCTGGTGGGAGAATAAGAAAGATAATATGATTAGACATATAGTACGGTTATAGGGAGTGTGTTTGTGTGTCCATTAGGGCTGAGCCTCACCGTTCTTGCAGTCTATCTCATCGCTCAGATCCCTGCAGTCAAACTGCCGGTCACACTGATGGCTACCATGGATACAGGAGCCATCGTTACACTGAAACTCATCTGGCTGGCAGGTGGGCCGACCTAGAGAGAGAGAGAGAGAGAGAGAGAGGTAGGTTAGATAAACAATACAGCAAGGGGGAGACAGATGGACAGATAAAGAAAGAGGGATTGGGATTTTCTCTTAAGAGTCCCTTAGTTTAATATCTGTTCATACAGTATATCCTGGGAGATGAACATTGGTTTTTGTAAACACTGAACTAAATAAGCCTTTTTCTCGCATTGATGTTTCAGAGAGAAAGGAAAGAAGCAGAGTAGAATATTGTCAAAAAACGTTCTACTCACTGCAGTTGGTTTCATCTGAATTATCCTGACAGTCCTTGCCTCCATCACACCTCCAACTCCTATGGATGCACTCCCCACTCCCACAGTGGAACTCATGTGGCCCACAAGGCTTTGTTGTCGGTTTGGTGTCCCTCCCGGCACAGTTCTGGGGCCACTCGTCTGAACCGTCTGCACAATCGGCGTCTCCGTCGCACGCCCAGAGACGCGGTACACACACTGAGTTGTTACACTGGAAGGCGTTGGGACTGCAGGTGACGGTGGGACAGGAAGTCTCGTCAGAATTATCGGAACAGTCGTTGTCCTTGTCGCACACGAAGGAGACGGAGATGCACTGGCCGTTGGAGCAGCGGAACTCATCGGCGGTGCAGTTCTTTGCGGCTGGAGGGAGGAAGGGAGAGTTAAGAGATGGAGGGTTAGGAATATGGAAGGTTTGAGACTGGGTGATGCAGTATTGGTACTCTATTGTGTCTTTAGGATGTTATTATGTCTGTAATAAAAATATTATTGTCACTAAAAGAATATGAGAGGTTTTTGTATAAGGGTTCAATGGGTACAGAGTAGACACAAGGACCATAGTCATGTGGTGAAAGTACCAGTTAGTGATTACAAACTGAAGTCTTAACACATCATCGTGCACTAACTACAGAGGTAATCAGTGATGAACAGAACAGTTTGGTCTCCAGTATGGTGGGGAATGCAGTGTAGTTTATCAGGTATGACAACGATAGAAGAGTTGGCTACAGCATATACAGTATTGGACTAGACTAGTGAATGGAAAAATATGTAGGATATTCATTTGAGCCAGTTTGCTACAGAAGGAAAAGAATCCTGCAGCAACAGGAAATGTGAATTATTATGTGGATTATAATTAATGGACATTTCTGTAGAGGTTGATACATTTTTCGTGAGGGAAAATCAAGTCAAATTTTAAAGTGGAAATTACAAACTTCATTAACCTTTTAAAACCTCACATACACTTCAAATGTTACATTTCCTGCAACATGTGATCAAATTAAGACCCTACATCAGTACTTACCACAGCTCTTCTCATCAGCTCCATTTTCACAGTCAGCTTTGCCATCACAGTGCCATGTTCCAGAGATACACTTGTTCAGTGGGCCTCCACAGCTAAACTCAGTGGGCAGGCAGGTCTTAGCCTCTGGAGAGACAGAGAGACATGAACAGATAGAGACATTAGAGTCTGTGTGATAAATCTTAGCAGCTATATCTTATCTGAAGAGGAGGCAGAGGAGAAGGAGAAGGACGAGAGGAGGAGGAGAACAGAGGAAGGATGAGGAAGAAGAGTATGAAAAGGAAGAAGAGAGGGAAAAGAAGGAGGATGAGAAGAATGAGAAGAGAGAAGAAGAAGGAGGAAGAGTCAGTCACTCACCACAGGTGGCTGGCAGCTCGTCAGTTCCGTCACCACAGTCATCACCTCCGTCACACACCCACCGGCTGGTGATGCATTTCCCATTGCCACACCTGAACTGCCTTGTCCCACACGTATAAGCAGCATCTAGGGGAAGAAAAACACAGGATAACTGTAAATGGTTGACAGAGAAGAAACATTTAATATTTTATACATCTATCATAGGTGTAATATACAAGGTTGATGTTTTAACAGAGTGGATTTGATACTGACTCAGTGAGTTTTTACAAAATAGGGCAATATTTCATTATATATATTTTCTGTCATGTGACACTAGCACCACATAACATTATGCTCACGCAGACGAGGGAAAGAGTCTGTAGTAGTGACGGATGTTAACTAACATTTAACAAAGTAACTTCCCTCAGTTAATGTTCAACAACGCTCGCTGGCAACACAGGGCGATCATCTGATGGCCATTAAGATTGGGATTATATCTTGTTGTCGGTGAGAAGAACACACCCTCTACGATGTGTTGTAGTAGCCCTCTGGGACCAGCAATTATGATAAGAGCTACAGTAGTGAGAGTCCAGAGATAAAGGAACAGGATATGAGGTAATATGACTACAATGTGGAGCATTTCTAAACAGGAAGTAAAGGAGTTTCCCATGGGAGAGACTCTTATCTCTTATTATTCACACACTGGAGCTACTGTATCTCATGGTCTTTCAGCAGACAGTGAGAACTTGACGGCCATTTTGTAATGCACTCAAGAATGTTGCTTGGCAACTACTGTTTGTGTGTTTCTCATGTAAAATTAAAAAGAAGGAAATTAGTGCAGGACAAGAGGTTGCCCAAACAGAACACACACAAGTGTCAACTCACACCCACACACCATTGGCCTATGAATGAGTAACAATAATAACAGTGAAATGAGATTTAAGACCAAAACGACCCAGTTTATTTTAGGTTGCTGAGGTCACAACCTCGTTGAACGCATTTAACCGATCAAAGCGAAGATATCTTCAACAAGGAAGTAAGAGCCAACAGGTAGAGCTAGCATGGAGCCTTCAATATTCTGCAAGGTCTCGGTCACTGTAAGTCAGTTTCTCTCTCTCCACTGTCAAATTCCGCTGTGCCTGAAGCAACAGAGTATGAGTCAGAGCCTACGGCTGTCTCTTTAAGACAATGGAAGGGGGGAGGAGTCATAATCACACCACCAGCTGCTGATTGGCCCTTGAGGGACATTCCTCATAATACTCATAACAAGTGCACTAGTGAGAGCCACAGGGGGAGGTGGGGCACAACCGGTCACTAAGGCTGGAATTTTCGGAACTTAAGCTGTCGGATGTTGACACTTGTAATAGTAACCGCGGCTACACCAGCCTGACTCAAGTCATAAAGCCGGTTGTTACACAGAGAGTTAGTGAAATAGTTTCAGAAGATCGGAAGATAGAGGATGCTTGCTCAATCTATTGGCATGTGATGTCACCAATGCTCACACCTTCCTGTAGAGATGTGGACTATCATTTCATAAGACTCTCTTGTCTTGAGAAATGTTGGCCTGACTTGATCAATCAGGGCTTTCATGGGAAAAACCAACAACTGTTGAACCCCTCTCCTCAAATGCTACCACAGCCTACATTATGATGCCCAGGCACTGTAATCGCCAAGACTGTAACTGTGTTTCCAGTGAACCCAATACACACGCACACACACAGTCCTGCACACACACACACAAACAAACACACACACACAACCCCCCCCCCCCCCCCCTACACACAGATGCACGCCCCCGCTCGCAAACACACACACACACACACACACACCCCAGGCTGTGCGTGCTGCCAGATGTGGAGGTTCCAGGAATAGTTCCCCCCCCCCCCCAACCTATTCCAGCTGTTCTTGGAGAGAGTGGTGATACATTTAAGAGGCTGGCCCAATGTTAGCTCGCCCTGAGACTTATATAGTCTCTCAAGTGCAAGTGAAAACGGAGACGTTACTTGGCCCTGACACGCACTCTGCCTCTCTCTCTTTCCCCATCCTCTCTGTCTCCCCTCCCCCTTTCTCTCTGTCTGTCTCTCCTCTTTCCCCACACTCTCTGTCTGTATGTGTCTGTCCGTCCCCTCTTCTCTTTCGCTCTCTTTCTATCTCCTCTTTCCCCTATTTCTCTGTTGTTCATCCCTCTGGTGAAATCAAAAGTGGGACATGTTCTGGCCCTGTTGACCTCCTAACTCCCAAACTCTCTCTCTCTCAATTCAATTCAAGGGGCTTTATTGGCATGGAAAACATCTCTCTCTCTCTCTCTCTCTCGAAAAATGCAAATCCTACAGGCTGTTTTACGTTACTCTCCTGCTAATCCTCCATCATCTACAAATGGGTCACAAGTCTCTCAAGCTGCATACTGTGTTCTCTCTACCATTCTCCCTCTAGGTCACAAGTCTCTCAACCTCCAGCAGCATAGCCCACTGTCCTCTCTCAACAGGCATCTGTGTGTATGTTAGACTGTACGTCACAACTATCTCTACCATTCTCTCTCTGGGTCACAAATCTCCAGTCCCAAGTATACTGTACTGCACTCTCTCTGTGTAGCCTATACGATTAGATATACATTGGGTAATAGAGGAGTTGTACTGTATTCAACTTAGTCTCTAATTGAAATACAGTGCGTGAGAGTTATTTTCCCAGGATGTGGTAAGGGGTTTATCTTTTAAAAGCCCCGCCAGTTCTGAATGGAAACTTATTTCCATTTCAGAGGCCAAGTTTAGCTTACAATATAACCAAAAACCGTCTGGCTGGAAAGATTGGGCCACGCAATTGCAATACATAGCTCTCTCTCCCAGTTTGGGTGTATCGTGATGTCAGCGTGTATTTGTGTGTGTGTCGTGCATAGTCATTGATCGATAACTAAGCTATGTACTTGGCGTAGTAACCAAGCACAGAAGACGGAGGAAGTTTGTTTGTGGTACACTGTTCAGGTTACAGTTAATTATTATTAAATAAACATAATCATAAAATAGAAGTTTGGTTCCTGTCTGCCTAACTTCCTTATGGGCCCACTCAATGCAGTCCGCCTGCGGTCTGTACAGATACTGTATGTACAGTGAGTCACCATATGGGCATTCTGTTTGTCTTTGAGGTTGTGACTAAACTAAATGAAGATAACAAAGATGGGGTGATTTCTCTGTTGCCTTTCCTTGAGGGATAATAGTTGTATTGTATTGCATTGGTTTTCTTCACAATTCATCTACAAAAAAAACTGTCTTGGGGAATCGACTTCAGACAAAGTGAGTGGAAACTCCTGTTGTATTTAGAGTGGATCATTACTTTAACAAATCTACCAATTGTACCAGCAGGGTATTTTTCATTAGTTCCAACAAATCCCATTCAAACTAGCTCTGCATGCAGCCTGTAAACTACTGTGTAATAATCTCAGATTCTAAGAACCAAAAAGCCATTATCAGCAACCTTCCTTATTCACCAATCAGCACATCATTTGGTGTCTCTCTGCCTGTCAGCCAACCTGTCTGTCTGCATGTCTGTCTGTCTTGCAAATGGAATTACCGGCAAGTCACCTGATTCGCATTCTCCTTCCTATGCCTGACGCTATCCCCACCAAATTTGACCCAAGGGGGAGGAGAGGGAGGGAGAAACAAAGAGAGAGACAAACAGACAGAGCGAGGCAGAGACTAGTGATGAGGGGGTAGACTCCTATCCCGCAGTCCCAGCGGTTATATACGCGGGGCGGACAGGTTTATAGTCATTAAATATTGTGTGGCTGAAGGGCGGTTGGGTGGCAGGTGGGTTAAATAAAGAGAAACAATACCTTAATTAAGCATTTCTTGCAGGAAAATTATACACCAAATGTAGGCAAAATTTGGACTTGGGAACAGGAGTGGAGAAATATGATTTCTTTCTGCATCTTGAGAGAATGCAATGCTCAGTTAGATACCATCTGTAGAAGTGCTGTCTTCCACATAAAATATGCATCGAAGCCCAACTGAAATCTTATTAGAAACATGTTGGATCGGGTCGTTTTCACAGCTTTCTTTTTCCTTACAACTGGTCAAACTGATGTCAAAAAATCCTTCTGCCTTCTTTGACTGTAGCTTATTGTGCATTTTCTATATTAGCGGGTTAGGGTCGGGTGTGGGCCTCAGATTTTCACTTTATCACATATAGTCGGGCGGTTGTGGATGGGTTATTAGCAATTGCGGGCGGGTGCGGGTGAAAAACAGCTGACCCGCGCACCACTAGCAGAGACACACAGCTGTCCACAGCTGCCATCTGGACAGGGCCTTAATGTAGTTAAGTGCTTGTTGGATGTGGCCAATTTACTGTAAGGGCCTATCCACTGCTGCTGGCTCACAGTCAAATAGAGGAAGCCCTACTGTCTTAAAAGGTTAGCATTTGCGCCAAGTTACATCATGACCTGAATAGACCTTTATATAGCTGCCTACATACAACGGAAACCACTGCGATTGATTTAGCCGTGATGCTGAGTGAGGAGAGAGAAAGAGAGATAGAAAGAGACACTGAAGGAGAGAGGAAAAGAGAGAAAGTTAGAGAGAGAGGGACAGAAAGAGAGAGCAGGAGAGAAAGAGAGAAAAAAAGAGACAGAAACATTTTATAGAGAGATTCCCCATCTCCTCATCTTCATCAGGTTCTATTAATAAACACTCCACTGCACTAACTGCCTGCTTGATGACAACTTGACCATGTAAGGTCATTTAACGTTGGTGTTTTCACTACGGATGGAAGAGAACGGACGTGCTCACTAAACACCAGACCCAGTCTGCAATAGACTTTCCAATAGCCCCAAATGTAACTTTTATATATTTTAACTAGAACGCTGCAGCCGGCCTGGTGTTTAACCTTCTCAAGTTCTCCCATGTCACCCCGCTCCTACGCACACTCCACGCTGGCTTCCAGTCGAAGCTCACATCCACTACAAGACCATGGTGCTTTCCTATGTCGCTGCAAGAGGAACTGCCCCTCCCTACCTTCAGGCTATGCTCAAACCCTACACCCCAACCCGAGCACTCCCTTCTGTCACCTCTGGTCTCTTGGCCCTCCCACCCCTACGGGAGGGCAGCTCCCACTCAGCCCAGTCCAAGCTCTTCTCTGTCCTGGCACCCCAATGGTGGAACCAGCTTCCCCCTGAACCTAGGACAGCAGAATCCCTGCCCGTCTTCCGAAAACATCTGAAACCCTACCTCTTCAAAGAGTATCTTAAATAACACTAGCACTTGACTCTTCCCCCTTACTAGCTCTGATTTTGCTGATAGCTACTATATTGAGGAAAAATATACTTACTATGACTGAGATATGTGGTTGTCCCACCTAGCTATCTTAAGATGAATGCACTAACTGTAAGTCACTCTGGACAAGAGCATCTGCTAAATGACTAAAATGTCAATGTAAAACTAGAGCTGAAAATACTATATTGTTTTGCAGCAACACCAACAGTCTCTGCAGCTCGAGTTGAAGTGTATGAAAGGCTACACTGGATGACAATAGGAGGACGATCCACATAGGTCAAAAGTGAGGCTATTATTGGAGTCCTCATCAACGCCCTTGTCATTGTGTGTGACAGGCTTGTTCCTTTAAGTTAGTTTGCCTATGCATTTCTGCTTGTTTTGGCGCGTGGGCAGTGGCACACACAAACACACAAACACACCCACACACAGTGGCGAGAAAAGTGTGTGTTTGTGTACACAAATCTTGCCAAAGGTCAGGGCTTGGTCTTTCCATAGCCACAGATTAATTTAGAACTAGGTGACACGTCTGATGGTCATCTGTCAAGATGTTAAACCAACAGAACTCAGTCTATACTAGTTCAGCTAACTGCATTTTTGGTTTAAGCTCGTTCATCCAACTGCATTCGGTTTATACTAGATAATCTAACTGCACTTGGTTTATACTAGGTCATCCAATTCCACTTGGACCTTCATTGTGAGGTTATTACGGGTGTTTTTACATGCCACTGGTGACTGATTGAGAGATCTGGTGTGTTAGGAGAATGTACATCATGCTATGCCTGGTCCTCTGTAGCTCAGCTGGTAGAGCACAGCGCTTGTAACCCAAGGTAGTGGTTCGATCCCCGGCCCACCAATACACAAAAATGTATGCACGCATGACTGTAAGTCGCTTTGGATAAAAGCGTCTGCTAAATGGCATATTATTATATTATTATAGAAGATCTTGGGGCTGCAGGATTCATATGGAGATTATTCTAGAATCTATTCTATTCTAGAACCACTGATGCAACTCTACAGGGATTCTCCCATTACTCTCCATAGTGTCAACTAATACAGCCCCTTAGGGCTCCACACTTACAGTAACAGCAGACCTACTGTTGGGGCTCCACACTTACAGTAACAGCAGACCTACTGTTGGGGCTCCACACTTACAGTAACAGCAGACCTACTGTTGGGGCTCCACACTTACAGTAACAGCAGACCTACTGTTGGGGCCCCACACATACACACACACGCATACACTCACAGACATACACACTCTACACATGCCAGCAGTAGATTTAATCACTACATTAATGAATACCGTGAACTAGAAAGACTGTACGGATGTTCTAATCTTCAAATCCATGGGAGCAGGAGTTAGTCTGCATCCCAAATGGTATAGTGCCATAGGGCTCTGGTCAAAAGTAGTGCACTTTAAAGGGAATATGTTGCCATTTGGGAGACAACCTTAAAGATTGAGGGATTACAGTAGAACGGGGCCACAACTGGACTAATACACAACACAATGTTAAGCCTAGGGGCCGGTAAATTCACCCTTAGACTACCTACTGAAACCAATTAGGAATTTGCCTTGACTGCCGTTAATGCATCACAATACAATGTAATACATTGTAATAATGTTAGCAAATAGGTTAAATGGACATGTGAGTTGTATGATAGTGTGTTTAGTTCCTACTATGGGTTGCTGAAGTGAAAGTGAAGGTAGTTGGTGGGTTTTTTATCATATTAATCAATCTAAAGATTTTTGCTCATAACAGACATCTTCTATTATTATGCCTTTTACATTTCATTGTTGATGACAACTATTATCTTCTCTAGAATAAAAAAGCTATGATTTTAAATGCAAATTGAGAATGTATTTTGACATATGCTACATCTTTAACCTACAAATGCATAACATTTGTGATCAAGAATGTCTGCAACTATCAGAATTTTGTTGCGAAAAATGCTATCCAACGGAGTAAAATAAAACCATTACTGTAAGGAAATCTAAATGATCATATTTCCTCCTTACACGGTACAGAAGCCGCGCCCTTGTTCGTTGACAACCGGCTTTTTCCTCCAACAGATCACGCCCACCTGTAAAACGAGACAGCCTTGACGTAGGCCTGCGGATGTGACGAGCCTATTTCTCATTCTGATTGGCTCGCAGGCTACATACTACTTGAAGAACAGCCAATTCACTTCCCGAGCGTAGATTCCACTCATACGGACGAAATAGATACATTTGAACTTTTATAGATATAATAAACTGCTAGTGCTTGACTCTGCATGTCAACAACATGCCCCCCTCCGGTGCACTAAATCCACTATTACAAGTTCAACCTAGGACACGATAATGTTAACGGATATAAATATTGGTTTAATTGAAAATTCGATTGGTATTAAAGCACCAAAATATAAATTAATTCAGAGAATAGAAATTGTGATCAGCACGGTTGCATTTGCAATTCCATGTCAGACAAAAGAAAAAGCTCACTGAAACATACACAACTGACAACTATGTAATGTTTGTTAAGTAATTTATAGATGTCAAATTCCATGTCAGATCGTTTAGACTAGAGAACCCCAATGGCAAAACCCGCTCTGCACTCAGCCCCCAAAATACGCATCATACGCAACTTGCATGATAAAATTGACTTCACATCCTTACCTGTCAGAGCAAAACAGTGGAAAAGCAACACCAGGCAACACGCTGTCAGCCCGGTGATTCCCACACGATTCAGTAGCATCTTCTCTCCGTTAGGCTTCCACGCAATTCGATGTGTTTCTTCTTGGTCTAATATCTACTACCCGGCACGCTTTTTGACATCGACTGAACAGCACTATAACAACTGAAGTGGGAGATGCTTCTGTCTTTGTGGATGTTGCAGTAACAGCTAAAACAAACTGGGGTAAATGAATGACTGTTGTTTGATATAAAGAGAAGAGTCACTGTGCGCCTGTGTCTAGGACTAGTGCCAGGGAGAAATATGAGATTTTTGAGTCACTTTTCTATGTGGTCCTATAAGTGGGCGGGATCAGCAGAGTGGTGTGATATTTGAAATTCGACATCAGCACCGCAGGGGTGGAGCTACAGCAGTCACAGAGAGAGAGGGAGAGAGGGAGAGAGGGAGAGAGAGACCCAACCACAATGTTACTGTTATCATTATCTGAATGGGCTGGCTGACCTTGCCTTGCCTCTTCTCTCTCTCTCTCTCTCTCTCTCTCTCTCTCTCTCTCTCTCTCTCTCTCTCTCTCGGTATGTGGGAGGGGTGGATGGGTGTGTGTGTGTGTGGGGGAGGGGGGGGGGGGCAGGGTGTGTGTGACCCTTGTGAGTGTGTATCTCCACCCCCCTCCTGTGCGTGTGTGTCATCTGATCTCCCCCTGAGAGAAATTGAGAGAGAGCGTGTGTATACATATAGTGCATACGGAAAGTATTCAGACCCCTTGACTTTTTCAACATTTTGTTACGTTACAGCCTTATTCTAAAATGAACTAAATTATTTATTTTCCTCATCAATCTACACACAATACCCCATAATGACAAAGCGAAAACAGGTTTTTAGAAATGTTTGCAAATTTATTAAAAATAAAAAACAGAAATACCTTATTTCCATAAGTATTCAGACCCTTTGCTATGAGACTCTAAATGTATCTCAGGTGCATCCTGTTTCCATTGATCATCCTCGAGTGTGTGTAAAGTCCGTGTGCGTGACCAGATGTTTTCCATCAGCCCAAAGCATGGGTCAATTACCTTTGAAGTAGTAGTGGATCAGAGTCAGTGTTGTTGACATGCTACCTCACAGCAAGATGCCAGGTCCCAGTGTTGTTGACATACTACCGCACAGCAAGAGGCCAGGTCCCAGTGTTGTTGACATGCTACCTCACAGCAAGAGGCCAGGTCCCAGTGTTGTTGACATGCTACCTCACAGCAAGAGGCCAGGTCCCAGTGTTGTTGACATGCTACCTCACAGCAAGAGGCCAGGTACCAGTGTTGTTGACATGCTACCTCACAGCAAGAAGCCAGGTCCCAGTGTTGTTGACATGGTACCTCACAGCAAGAGGCCAGGTCCCAGTGTTGTTGACATACTACCTCACAGCAAGAGGCCAGGTACCAGTGTTGTTGACATACTACCTCACAGCAAGAGGCCAGGTCCCAGTGTTGTTGACATGCTACCTCACAGCAAGAGGCCAGGTCCCAGTGTTGTTGACATGGTACCTCACAGCAAGATGCCAGGTCCCAGTGTTGTTGACATACTACCTCACATCAAGATGCCAGGTCCCAGTGTTGTTGACATGCTACCTCACAGCAAGAGGCCAGGTCCCAGTGTTGTTGACATGCTACCTCACAGCAAGAGGCCAGGTCCCAGTGCCCATGAATGGGGCCTACACATTTACCTACACCGACACAGAGGCCCTCAGAATTCCTTCCCATAAAATACCACTCTCTAATCTTGGAGATACATCTTCCCGACATTCCCATTGATGTTTTACAGGCAGGGCACTTTTGTTGCGGTTTTGTGGCTGGCACATTTACACAAATCATGTGTTTAAGAACATTTTGTTTTTCTGTTGTGTTCATGAAGAAGAAAAATTAAAAACAATAAATGAACAATTTTCTAAAGTTAGACAGGATGATTTCAAGATAAAGAATTTTCCACATAAGTAAAGTTTGGTGGAGGTAAAATCATATTACATTTTTGTAAGCGTTTCCAATAACAACGATAAGCTATCTTACTGTACATGTAGGAATGTATCTTTGTTGCATAACAACCGATAGGTATCACTGGGCTACATGGAGCCTATTGTGAGTATTAAATAAGAAAATGGCCTATTCAGTAGTGAAATCATTGTCAAATGCTTTGCAGAGAATTTGCAAGATAGTTTAAAGAAGATAGAGTCCAATATTACGAAACATACTAGCAGCCTTCAACAGCTGTGTCAATCTAAGCTTCAATGGTATGTTCATCGCCATAGAAAAGTATTTGAAAACAGTTACGAAATACAATTGTACAGTTTCATTGTTACTCCCATGAACAAAGTGCCATTTACAGAAGATAACAGTTATGATGTAAGCTGCCACATTCTATTCCATATCAAAACCGGTCTGAGAATCCAATAGCCATTCTCTTGTACTGTAATCAATTTTAACAGAAATAATAGTAGCTCCTCCATAAATCTAAGGCTTTTTCTCACTGCAGAAATGTCAACTTCACCTAGACAGGCTTTTGTTTTGGAAAATGTAGTAAATTAATGGAACATTCAAAATATCTAAATCAACCAGACGCTACTTTACATACTGTAAAGTCTATCCTAAGCCAATGGCAGCTTGCTGTCTGTATTCAAATGTTCATCATTTCTACCACACCCTGTATGTGGCCTAGTTTCTCAAAGTAAGCAACGTGGGCAGATTTGCTAAACAAATGTAAGGCTCAATGAATATTGCAAAACATAAATCTTGTGGATAATACATGCTTTACTGTATGTGAAATATGACTAAAGTGAACAGGCCCTAATAGGAGTCCTATTGGCTGAAGTAACTGAGGTATTTCGGTTGTTGAGTAAGATGCTTTGACTCCCAAGGGTGTGACAGACAGTTCAAAACAGATTCAGTAACTTGTGTTACGACCTGGCTCATAGTTCTTAAAAACAAAGAGAGACCGCACATGACTTAAATGTAAAAAGGAATAAATGTATTCAACTAAATAATAATAAATACAAAAATGTAACATAAGCTGTGGACGTCTGTAGGATCAGTAGTGTCTGCAGTGTGTGGATGAGTGGAGAGGGTGTTGTATGGTGAAAACAGACCAAAAAACAAAAGGTGGTGGAAGCTAGCCTGCCAGTCAGGGAAGAGAAAGTGTTGGCTGATGTGGCCACATTTTATAGCCTGCAGGCCAAGCCTGCCCAGGTGTGCCACATCAGCTGACGATCCTCCCAGCTCTGCCCACTGGCCTCCTGCAACAAGCAGACTACCAAACAGGAGATCCCAGCAGACAGAGTGGGAGGGATGTCACACTTGGAAGAGAAAATAGCTGTAAATCCCACTAGCCATGGTTAGGCCCTAGATGGAGCAGAGTGTAGCCCTCCTCCTCCCACCCTATCCTAGCCCTGGGCCTGAGATACTATATACAGAGAACAGGGCCGTGGTATCAGCTTCCATTCCCACCAGCACATGGCCTGACTGGCTCGCTCTATCTATCTATCTATCTATCTATCTATCTATCTATCTATCTATCTATCTATCTATCTATCTATCTATCTATCTATCTATCTATCTATCTATCTATATATCTATCTATCTATCTATCTATCTATCTATCTATCTATCTATATATACTATATATTCAATATATATTCTCCACATTGTTGTCACTCTTCCATTCAGTGAGTATTTATATAAATATCTGATATTACACAGATTCAGTAACTGGAAGGACAAAATAACCCTCTCTAGTTGTTTAGAGTTCATCTTGGAAAGTCATACATTTTCCTATAATCTATTAAAGGCAACTCTGGGAACTCTCCACTGTAAAATCACTAGGAATTTACACGGAAAAAGAAAAACCTTGTTTACATGTCAAAATGACATGTCCCACACACACCCCTAGTGGATGGAAGGAAAGACAGAGGTAGTCTGTGAGCAAGCTCATTGGAATGGAGAGAGATTCTGAGAGTGTGGGGTGGTTCTAATGTTTATAGAATGTGAGGTGATCCATCGGGTGATCCTGTGTGTGTGTGTGTGTGTGTGTGTGTGTGTGTGTGTGTGTGTGCGCGCGCGTGTGTGTGTGTGTGTGCGTGCGTGCGTATGTGTGTGTGTGTGTGCGTGTAAGAGGGGGGAAGCCTTGTTAATGTTTATAGAATAGAGGAAATCTTTCCATCGAGTGATATATTTGTGTTTGTGTTTTAGTAGATGGTGGGGTTAGTTAGTTATCAGTTATAAGATAAGATAGTACTTTATTAATCCTCCAAAAGGGGAAACGTACAGTTCACTCCTGGTCGGCCCCTGTTCGCTGGCTCCTGCTAGTGAGGTGTGTATGTGTGTATCTGCCTGTCTGTGTGTGTGGACGGGGTAGGATAGTTAATAATCAGAGGAAGTATTTCAATGGGGTGATGTGTGTGTTTTGATGAGGGGAGGGGCTAGTAAGTTACTAGTTGAGACCCGGCTCCTGGTAGTGAATGTAGCAGGATGGATCGGTATGAAGGTACAGCTGGTATCGCTGGTAGTGAAAGGAGCAGGATGATATTCCGGGTAGTGACAGGAGCAGGATGGTATTCCTGGTAGTGAAAGGAGCAGGATGGTATTCCTGGTAGTGAAAGCAGCAGGATGGTATTCCTGGTAGTGAAAGGAGCAGGATGGTATTCCTGGTAGTGAAGGTAGCAGGATGGTATTCCTGGTAGTGAAGGTGGCAGGCTGGTACTCCGGGTAGTGAAGGTAGCAGGCTGGTCCTCCTGGTAGTGAAGGTGGCAGGCTGGTATTCCTGGTAGTGAAGGTAGCAGGATGGTATTTTCTGGGTAGTGAAGGTAGCAGGCTGGTCCTCCTGGTAGTGAAGGTGGCAGGCTGGTACTCCTGGTAGTGAAGGTGGCAGGCTGGTACTCCGGGTAGTGAAGGTAGCAGGCTGGTACTCCTGGTAGTGAAGGTGGCAGGCTGGTATTCCTGGTAGTGAAGGTAGCAGGATGGTATTTTCCGGGTAGTGAAGGTAGCAGGCTGGTCCTCCTGGTAGTGAAGGTAGCAGGCTGGTATTCCTGTAATGCCGAAATGGCTGCTAGATTACATATTCCAGAAAGCCCACGATGACTGAGTGTGGTTCCCACCGTGAAGCATGCAGGGTTTTAGAATTAGTTGCTTATTAGGTTATATATTGATGTGTGCCCGATGCCACCCCTCATCTCTGATTATCTGCTGGGCGCGCAATATTAAGTGCGCCTATAGGCTATTTATTGTGGTGTTAGTCACATGATCCATACCCTATACGCTATAGGCTACGAAGTGCATGCTCGGAGAAGCACAGAGCAAAGTAATATTTCC